CAAATTTTTTTCAAAAGAAACTTTTACAGGGAAGTAAACAACAAATCAAAATTCCCCAAGCTCCAGGGGTCTCCTGCTCTAATTAAAAAAAAAAGAAAGCACTGGCCACATGGTGATGCGGGTGGTGTGTATGTGCATGTGTGTCCATGTGTATGCATGTGTGTTCGTCTGTGTGTGCAAATATGTGTGTGTGCATGTGTATGTGTATGTGCTCTCATGTGCATCTGTGTCTTTGTGTCCGAGGGAGCGGGGTCTGTGTCTATCTATGACTCTGTGTCTGTGAGTGTACACATTCAGTTTTGTTCTAAGAGGTCTACCATTTGTCTGACATACTGATTATGTATGCTTTCACATCAGATATTGGTTCTCAAAATGCATTCTTAAAGAGCCAGCTACATTAATTTTATTTTACACTGTACCCATTTTATTTTAACTAAAACTGAGAACCTATGCCAGGTACTGTCCTAGAATTCGAAGGATTAAAACAAAACTAGATCTTTTAGCACGTATGGTGGCACATGCCTTTAATTCCAGCACAGGGGAGGCAGAGGATCTGGATCTCTGTGAGATCAAGGCCAGCCTGGTCTACATAGCAAGTTCTAGGCCAGCTGGGAGATCCTGTCTCAAAAAGAAAAAAAAAAGAAAAAAAAAAGAAAGAAAAATACTACACTTGCAGCTGTCACGGAACAGGAAGTGCTATGTCAGTAGAAATAGGCATGAGTCACAGAAGCAAAGCGTTCAAGTCTAGTTGCCTGCACTGGTCAGAAAGTTCCAGAGAAAATGACCAAGGGATGGGAAGGAGTCTCCTAAACACAGGACAGAAGACAAAGGGACTCCAGCATGAGGCCCAGCAGGTCTCAATATCGAAAAGAGAAAAGTACAGAAGATATGAGACCCCAGACAGTGCCCCAGGGAGAAGACCGAGGACATCAAGTTACCGCAGCCAAGGTGTCTATGGGCGCCGTTTTGGAGGTCTCATCCCAGGGCCATTTACCCATGTAAGTGAGACAGTGAGTGCTCCTGGGGTGAGCATGGAACAGAAGCTGCTGGCCTCACGGAGGTGAGGAGCACAAAGACCGGGAAGGGAAGTCAGGGCCCCAACCCCCTTTAAGGGTACAGCCCTCTACCACTAGACTTCCCATCACTCTCCACCTCAAAAAGGCTCCACCATCTCCCAAAGGCACCATGGACTGGGAACAAGCCTTTAACACACTGGCCTCTGGGGAATACTTACTCACTCAAACCACAGCTCTGCGGCAGAAGGGAGCACAAAATGTGGAGATTGTGAAGCAGGCTGAGCGCCTAGGACTGGGATGGTTTTCAGCAGGTGTTCATTAGTTTAGTTTTAGGTGCTGCAAGCGCAGTAAGAGACAAGAATAAAAATTCCTCTCCTAACAGGGGCTCCCATTGAGCCAATTCTGGATATAGTTAAAAGGAGAACCAAACATCTCTGGGAATAGGTGAAGATGGGGCGGCTATGAGCTCAGTCACAAACAATCGTCAAGGCGGAAGAAACTGAGCTGAAATGATGCCACAGATAAACAGAGAAGAGCACGTGTGAGGCTTGGCAGAGCTGGACCGGACAGACAGGAGGGGGATGGTGATGAAACCAGGAACCAACAGGGCTGGGGAGCTGCTCGGTGGGTAAAGCGCCTGCTGCACAAGGATGAGGACCTGAGTTTGGATCCCGGGCACCACGCTTCTTAAAGCTGACTGCAGCAACACATGACCGTAATTCCAGCACTGGGTGCAGAGGCCGGTGGATCCAAGGGCTTGCTGTCCAGCCAGCAAAATCTTATTTATTTATTAAGAGGGCAGCTGCTAAAAGAACTTATTTTAAAAATGTACGTCTCCCAGAAGCAACGTTTGACTTTTATCAAATTGTAGAAGGCTTTACCTTAATTTTGTCTATATAATTAGCTTCTCTGTGATTAAACATTTCATGGGCTCCATTCTGCAGAGCAAGCTTCTCTCCTTCCTTAGAACCGGCTGTGCCTAGTACCTTTAGGCCGTAAGCTCTGGCAATCTGGCATGCAGCTAATCCCACCTGAAAAACAAAGTACAAACTTGGCATCTGTAGTCTCTGCACCCCGCAAGCACTCCCATATATTCAACAGGCAGCCGATCCTGTTAGCACCTAACCTATCTGTAAGGAGCACAGCATGCAGGTCAATAAAAGAGAAAAGCAGTTTTGCATGCATACTTCCAACATTCTCACACACAGGCCAGTGCTTCTTAAACTTTCTGCACTCATGACCCCTTTTTTGTCCAAGAAATTTAAAAAATATTTCAATTATTTTTATTTTATAGGTGTGAGTGTAGAGCCTGTATGTAAGTGCACCCCTGCTGTGCAATGCCCATGGAGGTCAGAAGAAGGCACTGCCTCCCATGGAACTGGAGCTATGGACAGTTGTTAGCCACCATATGGGTGCTGGGAATTGAACCCGTGTCTTCTGCAAGAGTAGCCAGAGCTGTTAACCACTGGGTCATCCTTCTAGTCCCCTAAGAAATTTTTATATGAGCCTAGTCGTATAGGTATGTAAAATGGATGTACAAATGAGATATTTACTGATATTAAATCCCAAAGAAAATTGAAAGTAATATACGTATACATATATAGTTTTACCCTTACTAAAGATGTAAGAAATCTTGCTAATGAGATGAATGTGATTGCTTATTTTCACACAAAGAATTGATTCTCAGCTGGCTATCTGATAACTGCATATTGGTTTTCCCATGGCTATGATAAAACATTCTGAACAAACCCAGTTTGGGGAGGAAAGGATTTATTTCATCTTAAACTTCCAAGTAACAGCCCATCGATCGATAAGGCCAGTGTAGGAGCTCAGTGAAGGAGCCTGGAGGCCGGAGCTCAAGCAGATCTTGCAGGAATCTCCTTCCTGGCCTGCTCTTCTGGTCTGTGCTCAGCCTGCTTTCTTAAGTACCCCCAGGACTGCCTGTTAAGGGGTGGTACAGCCCACAGTGGGTTGGGCCATCTCACAAGGCTCAAAAATTCAGAACATGCCTCATGGACATGCCCATAGGCCAGTTTGATAGGGGACATTCCTCAACTGAGGGTCCCTCTCCCCAGGTGTATCAAGTTGACAGCCAGAGCCAGCCATGACACTGCAGGACCCAGAGCAGCCAATGTTGGTCTTTCAGAGTCATGCGGGGGCGGGGGGGGGGGGGGGGGGGCAGAACAGGGCATCAGAGCCATCACTCTTCAGTCTCAAAAACTTACCTCTTTTTTTAATATTTATTATTTTTATTTTTTATGTGTATGAGTGTATTGCCTGCATGTACCTGTGTCATGCAATGCCCACTGAGGACAGAAGAGGCTGCTGGATCCCCTGGAACTGGAGTTACGGACAGTTGTTAGCTGTCATGTGGGTGCTGGGATTCGAACTTGTCTTTTTTAAGAACAGCCAGTGTCCTAACCGCTGAGCCATCTCTCCAGCCCCTAAAGTTGACTTTGTTTTATTTATATTCAGATATGATACCTTCAGTTTTGTTCCAGGAGAGCTATATAATTTGTATATCAGATACTATGCTCAGTCCATTCTAATTAATTAGCATCTTTGTTTTTATTTTCCAGTTTCCTTCCTGTTTTTCTCAGATGGGGGGGTCCCTAGGAATAGCCCAAACAAAGATAAGCACTATTTGAAATGAGTGTTCCTAGACCCTTGCTCTTCCAACCACATTGTATCTCCTTAGCCCTTATTCTCATACTGGTTTGTAAGTCAGAAAGCAGCCTGAGACCAGTAGAAATTAGAAGGCTAGAGGGGATGAAGGAAGGACAGGGTGGCAGATACAAGTTGTCTCACTGGGGTTGATGTTTGCTGGTTCGAACTCTTTACTGTCTTGTCTTTTCCCAGTCTCCATAGTATTAGAACACTCTTGTTAACCTTCATTTCTCTCTAGCTCCTTTCCTTTCAAGTATTTATATTTCATATAAACAGTTCAACAGAAATCTTTGTTACTAAGTTTCTTCCTTAAAGTAAGCTTAGTTGCCCATCCCATCCCTGAAGCACAGCCTTCCCAGGAAAGTCCTTTCCTCCCACTGTCCACAAGCATTGGGGCTTCTCCATAGCCTCTTCCTCATACTCCCTCCCAGCTCTCAGCCCTAAGAAGGCCATGGCTTTGATACATTCAGTAGCCAAGAGCAGCTCATTTGTAGATTTTTCCTCCAAATGCAAATTCCTATTGCTTGATACATACAAGACATGTGAAAATATAGTCAACTTGGAGCACAAACTCTTCCACTAGAGTAGACATAAAAATGTTGAGAATATGTTAGGAACTTGCTCTATCCTGTACTATTATTGTGTGGGTTTGGGCAAGCAGCTAGGCTTCTCTGATCCTCAGTTTCTTCATTTGTCAAAAAAAGTTGATAATACCTAACTTGGTGGTGTGTTAATGAGACATATAAACCAATAATGCCCGGCTCTTGGTAAATACTCATTAAGTATTGCTCTTTTCCAAACCGCCTTGTCTCTAAACTCCAGAGAAAGCTTTGCTATCATCTTTAACTTCTTGTCATTCATTCCTTTTCTAATCAGCGAGTACCTGTTATTACTTTCTGTAGGAAATATTAAACAGTAATCGCTCCTCAGGTCTTACCTAACAGTCAGTAGGTTCTGGCCACTTTTCATGCTTTTTTACTTTATTTTTTTTTTTTTTTTTTTTTTTTTTTTCCTAAAAATTGTGCTTGCAATATTCTTTGAAGAGATAATGCTCCCCTGCCTGCCAGCTGCTTTCTCCGACTTGTTTTGCTAATACTACATGAGATCCTCCCCACCAACATACTGGGCAATGGCTGTGCTCATAAACCCACACCATTTTAGGCCCACAACATAATTCTGCAGGAATGAGAATTAAATGAGGAAAGATTGTACAAACAGAAGCAAGGTGAAAGCCAGCGTTCTGTCTCCCAGCGATAGGGCAGGAGGATCAGAGGCGCCTGCCTCACACACCAGGCTGCCAGCTCATCCCTGACAGCGGAGATTTAGCAAACTCAGCCAGCTCCAAAAACCATGTGGATTTTCCCTTAAAAAATAAAAAACCCTATGAAGTGACTGGGCTTTCTACAAGAGGGTGAAAGGAATAAAGAAAGATTTTCTTTAAACTCTTCTTTCTCTGTTACAGTGAAATCTCTCTTCTCTGCAGAGCATAAGGTTGGCTCTCAGAAAACCAGAGCAATTTAAATAAATGCATGTGTTTTTCTGACCTTCAGTTATTTAGGGTTAAATTCAACCTCGTCCAAAATCAGCCTTTGGTGAACATAACAGTGAATCTTTGTGGGGGTTTATCATATTTTCTCAAGCCCCAAAGAGACAATCCTGGGCTCTTTTAGTAAATAATCTCATTTTTTAGGTCCTTCGGGATTGATCTGTTTGAGGCACTGGAAAGCTAGGTGTGAAACATGGGGTTCATCGCTAAAGAGACACAAAGTGGCCCAACTTTCGGAACTCCCTGCCCCCTTCAGAGGTGGTCATGCTGCCAAGCTAGCACTCTCGTGTGGGCACGCCCTGTGCTGCAGTGACTGGGCTCCACCCCTCCCCGGAACACCCCATTCTCTGCAAGGGTTGACTAGCTCCTGAAGATGAGCCGTCCTGCCCCAGGCCCTTCATTTTAAAAATGAGAGATCTTGTTTCCAACATTTCCAAAGCCTCTACATGCAGGACAGAGGTCATGTGACTTTCTTGTTAAATTCCAAATGCAGATCTCTGACTCTCCCTCTAAGCTCCTTGAAGACAGACTGGCAGCCGGGGTCTTGAAGACGTTTCTGACAGCTGTCTGTGCTGGGTGATTTCGGAGAAGGGCTTAAGTCTGAGCTCTGAGTCCCTCCCCACTAGACATTAGCATTTTCAGTCCAGGCTTGTGGTGTTGAGGACACAGCTATGTACTGCACACTCTTGTGAATGTCATCAAAAACGAGCAGGCAGGGTGCAGGAGGAGACAGGAAGGATGAGGAGCTCGTCCCGAGGCTGCACAGTGCGGTCTAGGGCCACACAGAAGAAGCTCTAATGAGCTTTATTTCCCTGTCTTAGGGGATGTGGCATGAATCTTAACCTTAGAGGGGCTTAAGATGCCAAATAACTCTAAGAACAGTAAATATCACTTGAAAGCGGATGCAAGCACAGTTTATCTCGGTCCACTTTGAACGTAGGTAGGAAAACCTACTACATTCATGTTTTTGATGAGGTAGCCTGTTGAATTTATTAACCAAGAAATGTTACACTACAGGGCAACAATCCCTTCAGAAGGCTGAGTCTGAAAAGCTTCATAGCACAACGAGGGAAAAAAAGCACTCATGGCAATAAGTTTGTCTTTTAAAAATGACTTCTGCCTGCATAAGATCAAGGTAGTCAACATTCCGGCATGGATGGGGGTGGGGGTCCCAGGTGAGGAGCTGTTGGCATTTGATGGCTGTGGGGGAGGGGGAGTTGATTTTTCTCTTCAGGAGGGAGGCCCCCGGTAGGCTGACCATGCTGCTAAGGACGGCCCCACACCCATGTGTATTTGGTTCAGTGGAAGAAATGAAGTTGGAAGGGTGACCTGGGCAGTGAAGATGATCAAACACATAGGATATACGTCTGAAATCCACCATGATCAAGTCAGCTTTATTCCAGAGATGCAGGGATGGTTCAATACACCCAAGTCAATAAATGTCATCAATTCAACATGCATTTATGTTCAAAGTCCTAGAGGAAATTAGACTGGAGGGAATATACCTTAGCATAACTAAAGCCATATACAACAAATCCACAATCAACATCATTCTAAAAGGGGAAAAACTGTAAGCATTCCCATTAAAACAGGAACCAGACAAGGATGTCCACTACCTCCACTTCTTTTCAACATAGTGTTTGAAACTCTTGCTAGAGCAATAAGATATTAGAAGAAAATTAAAGGAGTGCCAATTGGAAAAGTAGAGGTCAAATTATCCCTTTTTGCAGATGATATGATACTATACCTAAGGGATCCCCAAAACTCCACCAAAAAACTCCTGGAACTGATCAACACTTTCAGTAAAGTGGCAGGTTCCAAAATCAATCTACAAAAAATAAGTAGTAGCCTTTCTATATACCAATAACAAGCAATTAGAGAAAGAATACAGGGAAACACTCCCATTCACAATAGCTGGAAAAAAATCTTGGAATAAACCTTACCAAAGACATTAAAGACCTCTACAACAAAAATATTAAATGTTTAAAGAAAGAGACTGAGGAAGACACCAGGAGATGGAAGGACCTCCCATGCTCATGGATTAGAAGAAATAATATTGTGAAAATGACCATCCTACCAAAAGCAATATATAGACTCAATGCAATACCAATGAAAATCCCCATAACATACTTCACAGAATTGGAAAAAAACATCCTAAGATTCATATGTAAGCACAAAAGACCCCGGATAGCCAAAGCCACTCTGAGCACAAAGAGCAACACTGAAGGGATTACTGTACCAGATCTCAAAGTATACTGCAGAGCCAAAGTCATAAAATCAGCATGGTACTGGTACAAAAACAGACACAGAGATCAATGGAACATCATTGAAGACCCAAACCTGAGTACATGCAATTTCAGCTATCTGATATTTACAAAAGGGACAAGAACATTCACTGGAGGAAAGACAGCATCTTCAGCAAATGGTGCTGACAAAACTGGATCTCCACCTGTAAAAGAATAAAACTAGACCCTTATCTTTCACCTTGCACAAAAGTCAACTCCAAATGGATCAAAGACCTCAATGTGAAGCCTGAAACCCTGAAACTGTTAGAAGAAAACATTGACGATAACCTACAAGATACAGGTGTAGGAAAGGACTTTCTGAATTAGACACCAGTTTCTCAGGAACTAAGGTCAACAACCAAGAAGTGGGACCACATTAAACTAAAAAGCTTCTGTACAGCAAAAGAAACAATCAAGAGAGTGAACAGAAAACCCACAGAATGCGAAAAAATCTTCACCAGGGACACATCTGACAGAGGTTTAATATCCAGAATATATAAAGAACTCAAAAAACAAAGAAGGAAGCAAATGACCCAATTAAAAGATGGACTAAAGATCTAAATAGAGAGTTTTCAAAAGGTGAAATAAAGATGTCTAAGAAACATCATAAAAAGTGTTCAACATCATTAGTAATTAAGGAAATGCAAATTAAAACCACTTTAAGATTTCATCTTATGCCAGACAGACTGGCTAAGATCAAGAGAACAAATGATACCAAATGCTGGCGAGGATGTGAAGATAGGGGAACACTCATTCACTGCTGGTGGGATTGCAAACTCGTGCAGTCTCTATGGAAAACAGTGTGCAGAACTCTTAACAAACTAAAAATGAATTTCCCATACGACCCAGTTATACCACTCCACATACCCAAGGGACTCATTCTATTGTAGACATATTCGTACATCCGTGTTTTTTGCTGCTTTTTTCACAATAGCTAAGAGATAGAAACAACCTAAGTGCCCCTCAACTGACGAGTGGTTAATGAAAATGTGGTATATTTACACAATGGAGTTCTACTCGGCAATTAAAGAAAGATGAAATAATGAAATCTGCAGGTAAATGGATGGAACCAGAAACTGTTGTTATACTAAGTGAAGTAACACAGACTCAGAAAAACAAAAGACGTATGTTCTCCCTCATTTGTGGATCCTAGCAGTAAATCCTTATAATAGATGGAATCCCACTGAAATGGGCCAATAGCTCATGGGAAACAGATGATTCAGAGACCTGAAAGTTTGCGCCTTGCCACAATGAGGGGACGATCATCCCACACCTACCACCCCTTCCAAGGCTCAGGAACTTTTGTGGAAGAGATTGGCAGAGAATGTAGGAGCTGGAGGAAGGGGTAGAGTGTTGCCTGGAAGTGTCCTCAGACCACTATGCTGGCGAGTTATAGCTCCTCCCACGCTTGCCAAGGAGTCCAGAGGGAGTCAGTTCCCCTCTCACCCAATCAGTCCACCTTAGCTGCATGTGGGGGAGGGGCTAAGGATATGCCAGCCGAGAATGCCATAAGGCACCTCGTCATTTTGTGAGGCTGTTGGGAAGTCACAGGGTCTATAGTTGAGTGTTGATTTTCCAGTGCAGCCATAAATGGGGGGTGCCCACTCCTCTGTAAATAAACCCCCATCCTATGCTCCGTTAACAAGCCCAATAAACTAGGTAGGATTTAGAAAAAAAGAACAGATGAAATGGAAACCTTCATTATTCCACCAAAGTTGACCCCATGTTGGCAAGTCCTTTGGTCTTTGATTTCTTATTCCTAGTCCCCCTTTAAACTTCATTGTATAGATATTTTTATGCAACCTGCTTCAAGTTATTTTTGGAAATATTATTAAAAATTGCCTCTCTTGGGGCTGAAGAAATGGCTCAGCGATTAAGAACACTGACTATTCTTGCAGAAGACCCGAATTCAAATCCCAGCATCCACATGGCAGCTGACAACTGTCTGTGACTCCAGTTCCAGGGGATCCAATGACCTCATCTGTCTTCTGCAGCCACTGCACAACACGGGTACACTTCCCTACATGCAGGCAATACATGCATACACATAAAATAAAAATAACAAATAAAAATGATAAATAAAATTTTTTTAAAAAATTGCCTCTCTTTGGAATAAGAATATTCTAAAATAAATAACTAAAAGAAATGTAATATGACAGTAGTCATAACCCCACGCTCATTTAAACAGACCTTAAGAGCACACTTATACACTCATTTAAACAGACCTTAAGAGCACACTTATACACTCATTTAAAAAGACCTTAAGAGCACACTTACACCTCCACTTGCCCCATGAACCAAAATGCTCTCTCCAGCTTTCACACGGGCACTGCAAAGGAAAGAAGATGTCCGGTCATCTCCTGTTAATCGAGAGCTGCTCGTCTTCCTGTCTTCAAGGAATTTCTACCCTCATTCCCGCCAACACCCAACGAGAAGGGCATGCTGACACCCAGCCAAATATCCTCCCTTCCTACAGGCTCAGAGGATGGTTTTCCAGGGCATTCACTGCGGAAACATGGTCCTTGCATGCCCGGGGTCATAGTGGTGTGAGGATGACGTCACAGTGCCGTGGTGCAGTCCAGTGTGTATGTGAGTGGGAGTGCTGACCCAGAGCACCTGAGTCTCCCCCACTCAAGGAGCCCACAGGGCGTCCCCCTGAAGGTTTGCTGCCGCCCAGTTATTCTGTAGTCTAACCCAGGAAAACTATCAGCTGGACTGCTTGTGGGCAAGGCTACGAAAATTTCTCCTGCCACTGAATGAGTGAGGACCATGGGCTCTGAACGCCCCCAGGTCACCTCTAAAATGCCCAGGCTTCTACCTGGGGCTCGTATTACGAGGTTGTATATACACTGAATGCTGGGAACAGAGAGCAAGACGGTGTGGAAACACCTCCAGATTCCAGAGGGACAGGTGCTAAGGGTGCTGATGTCACAGCCAGCAGATGCTCTGTGATCCAGGTCATCCCTGAGGGATGGGGCAGTCCTCCTCAGAGACCCCTGCTCACTCTGGAATGAGAACATAGTAACCCAGAGTCCCTGGTCACAGCCTGTGCCAACAGCTGGCAATTGGCAGTCCTGGGCAATCAAGAAGGCTTCTCTTCACTGCAGCCTACCGACAGGAGACTAAGAACAGGGAGGGAGACCAAGCGCTTGGATGATAAGCTGAGATAAAGTCCAGAAACCCAATGAGGCACAAATGTGAGGGGAGGGCATGACGGAAACACTGTACTGAGAGCTCTCAGGGCACAGAAGTCTGCTGTGCGGCTCACTCACTCTGTGAGGTCCTTGGGGGGACGGTTGTACTTTGGACAGTGCTAGGCTGTGTGTGTTCTGTTGAGAGCCCCATTTTCTGTGCACAATTCTGAAGGTTCACACTGCTGCCAAGATGGCTCTGATGGCCAGCAGGGCGTGTCCATCCCCAGGGATGCTCTAGGGCCTGTGCCAGCTCACCGCAGCACCTTCCACAGCACATACACACACTGCTCTGCTCACGTCCCCTCGCCGCTCCGTGAGGATCTTGAGGTCGATCCACTCTGCGCTCCTCGGGGGGACGGCACACCCCGCCCCATCAGCGGGCCCAGTCTCACCTGTGCAGCAGCGCTCGGCAGGCGGTGAAGTACGGGATGCCGATCCCAGCGCCCTGGCGGAAGGTCAGTGTCTCAGGGAGTGGGTAGACAGTGTGGTCCGCGGCCAGGGCGAACTCGGCATAGCCCCCCGAGATGGTGTTGGAGCTGAACACTCGGTCACCTTTCTAGAAAAAGGGATCAAAAACCAGGTGAGCGGAGGTTAGGGCTGAGGCAAGACAGGTGCGCTCCTGTAAGACGGGGACTTTACAGTAAGAGATGAGCATCAGTGAACGACAAGAGCTCAGCACTGAGGCTACAGTGGAGGCGTGTTAGACAGCATGGAAAGGACATGGAACAGTCCATCAGAGCAACACCTTCATCCACCCACACCACCAGCCACCGAGCCAAGAGTGAAAACGAGTGGGAACCATCAATTTACTCTTAAAAATGATTCTTTCTAGCATCGGCGTCCTAGGAGTAGGAAAGAGGGCACTCAGTGTCTACAAAGTGTCAGAGGTTACATAAGCTGTCAGACAGGCTGAAAGAGCTGTGCCAGATGGACTGAGATGGGCCTCAAATCTCAGGTGTCACCAAGGTGGTCAGACCCTAGAGAGAAAATAGACCTCAATGAGCATGGATGAGCTCAGCTTCGGATAGATGGAGGAAGGGGCTCCGGGGGGCTGACCACACGGGCACAGTGTGGAAGAAGTACCGTATATCCACCTTGTCCGGGAAGGGAGCAGCGGGATGCACAGGACAGTTAAGTATTTGAAAGGCCATAGTGTTACTTAGGAACTGGACTTTCAGTGAGGTTCAAAAGGATATTTTCTCAGTGGCCATATTTGAGCCACTGAGTTCCAATTTGCACAGCACAGTCCTGGGACATAGTAGGACATCACACAGGACAATGGAACTCAAGAGGGCCGAGACCTTCACAGAAGAGACTAAATACCAAAAGCAAAGATCTAGACAGGGTGTGGGTACTCGAGGCAGCAAGACTGGAGAGGCAGCCAAAGACAAAGACCCCAAGACAGGGCCCAGAGGACGAAAGAGCAGGACAGGAGACCTCGCTCACTGACTCTGAAGGAAAAGTTGTTTTGGTTTTTAAAGAAAAAGTTAAGTCACTGAGAGTGTCAAATGCCACAGAGAAATCAAGAACAATAAGGACATAAAAGGGCCCATTAACCCCAGCAGCACAGAGCCCATTAGAGACATCAGCGACATGTTCCAGGAATGCGGTGGAGGCCAGAGTGCCAGAGGCCCAGAAGGCAAAGGGGCAGGAACTTCTTCGGAAGGCACTGGTCAGCTTCTTCATTTAAGCCCAGGTTTTTGGCCAAAGTTGAGCAGGTCAAGAAATTACCAGAGAAGATGTGGGGGTGTGATCGGGCTCTGAGGGAGCCACTGTGCTGGATGTGTCGCTTGGCAGATAAAAAGGGCAGCTCTGGGCACAGCCCTTTGGTTGACTTTGATCCGACCCTCAACTCCATAACTGCACATCTTCATGGCTTTCTCATCCTGCGGAAGAATTAACTTTTCCTCCGTTTCATGAAAGTAAATTTAGAAAGGGAATTTACAGCTATGTCTGTGTGTGACAAGAGTCAGGACATTCGCCATTTCCCCGTTTGCTTGCCTTACATACGTGTGTCTAGTAAGTTAAAAGGATCACAGCTCATTTGCCAAATCATGGATAGAAATCATCCAGCACGCATTTCCAACAATGTGAACAGGCAAGGCCTCCGGATAAGAAGACTTTTTTTTTTTTTTGACTAGTGGAATCCCCCAAGCAGTTTACTATGCGCAGTGGGGGCCTTTGAAAGCCTAAGGTCTACACACCTTTTACACCTATGATAAAATAGCGTAAGAAAGCCAATAAGTTCAAATAAAAATAATCAAAGATGCAATACCTTGAAAGCAGATACACCATCTCCAATGGATTCTATGACCCCGGCCACATCTGTGCCAGGGGTGTAGGGTAGGAGAGGTTTTCGCCTGTAGGTACCAGAGCGAATATATGTCTCGACTGGGTTGACACCACAGGCATGGACTTTGATTAGAACCTGCAAGGACAGCATAGTTTAGTTCACACAGCACACTGGGTACGTTGGGGGTGTGCTGTGACTACTGATTATGGGAGCTACAAAAACAGAAAACACAGCAGCAAACAGGCCCCACCTTCAATGAGCCCATGGTCTAAGTCTGCAAACCACTATGTAAATTAGAGTCAAAACAGACTGGCTTATGTGCGATATTTGAACATCTCGGGAAAACAATACAGGAGACCTTTAAGGGGTATATCAGCGATCCTACATTGTTCCCATCAGCCCTTCTTCTTTGTCTCCTTGGGAACCCAGGAAGAACATGGTTTCCTGTCCACCTTTGAGTTAGCGATCCTACATTGTTCCCATCAGCCCTTCTTCTTTGTCTCCTTGGGAACCTTTGAGTCTGGGCCAATGAGAGGTGAACAAAAGTAAAGAGAGCCAGAGCTGGAGAATTGGCTCAGCAGTTAAAAGCACTGGCTGCTCCTGCGCAGGACCCAATTCAAATCCCAGCACCCACACGGTGGCTAACAACCATCCCTAATTCCAGCCCCAGGGGATCCGACGCCCTCTTCTGATCTCCATAGGCACTGCATGCACAGGTATACTTACATACATGCAGGCAAAACACTCATACACATAAAATAAAAATTATTTTTAAGTCATGAGAGTCCCCTGAAGGTGTGGCCCAGTATAACCTCCCAGGCACCCCACAGTGCTGCTGCCCTCTTGTGGGGAGCCCTGTGCTAAAGGTGGCGAAGCCTGTGATAAAAGCTTGGGTCTGGACCTCACTGCTGGAGGAGAGCTACCCACCAGCACTGCAGAATTGGGGAAATAATTCTCTATTGTTGAACCATGGAGATGTTGAGATCACAGCTATCAAAGGAGCAGCAGTTGGGGGTAGGGGTGTAGGCCATCAGCGGAACACTTACCTAGCATGCGCAAGTCCCTGGGTTCAAGCCCCAGTACTCAAACAGAGTAAGTATCTCTGCTAAAAGAGTCCTTATACACAGAGGAGGTGGTGTGTGCGTTAGGGCTTTAAGAACAAGCAGAAATGATGTGGGAATGGGAAAGAAAGAATCTGCAGGTAAAAGGAAAGTACGAGAAAAGACAGAATGAGAGTCTCTGGGGAAACCTGGGGAAACACTGATGCTACAGCACAGTCTACTGAAGGGGTAACAAGAAGCAAGTTTGGAAACACAAGTTATAACTAAGTTATATTTGAAAATCTCTTATAAGGCTTGCTAAGGAAATTAGACTTCAGATAGGAAAGTTGCCTTAAAAAAAATAACACAACCCAGCACTCAGGAGGCAGAGGCAGGTGGCTCTCTGTGAGTTCAAGGCCAGCCTGGTCTACATAGTGAGTTCCAGGACAGCTGGGGCTACAGGGAGACCCTGTCTCAAAAAGACCAAAAAAAAAAAGAAAAAAAAAAATACACAACCAAGTCAAAAGGATATTGATAAAGATCACTGGAGACAACTGAATTCCACAATTAAATTCTCTTAAATCATATACGAAAAAGCATAAATTCAGTAGGACAATCATGAAAAATAAAAATCCATAGAGGTTTGCAGTAGGAAAGCTTATCAGAACTACTTATGATGCTATTAAAATCGAGGCATTACATTACATAGTTGATTTCCAATTTCACTAATTATCAGCTATGTTAACTTTGTCAGGTGAGGGTATATAGATAGATAAACAATGTGAACTCTATTCTAATTCAATGTCTTTATATATAAACCACTGTGAGTCTGCTCCATGCAATCCGTGCCTGGGTTAAATACTTATCTCTACCTGATGGTCTTTTGGAACTGGTACTACAACATCGGACTGGAGTTTCAGTACTTCTGGTCCACCAATTTCAAACACCCGAATAGCCTTCATCAACTTCTGTCCAGTTGCCATGGTGATCTAGAGGCTAAGAAAAAAATTAATATATTACCATATTGTATCTAGTCTGTGTTTTTGTCCCCTGGAGGGGACAGATCAGTTTTCCAAACATTAATTTAAATCATGAATTTACCACTGATCTTATTTCATGTTTAAGGACTTTTCATCTTACAAATCCTTCAACTATAAAGCAAAGCCATCCACACCTCTTCCTATGGGGACTCAGTGCCTTCCACAAGGGAGTCAAACATGCAAACAAAACATCTGGGTGGACAGAGCGTAGTGCCATATCTTAGGTTTTCTTTTGTGTAAGCTTAGGCTGCAGCACCTTGGAGATTTTAAAAACTAATATTTGACTTACAGACCTTTTACCAGATTATGAAATTTTCAAACCTCTAGTGAAATATATAAATACGTTTATATCTAACTTTTAACAAGTCTTGGCCTTCTAATAACCTAAAACAATCGATGTATAATTGAAGCCTCTATGCTCCTCAAACCATCTCTGGTCAGGCCTCGGAAGAAATTATTATTACCATCAATTCACTGCTAGTAACCCCGCAGCACATTTATACCACAACCAGACAGGTGCACTAGGAAGCCCCAGGTTTGTTTCTGTTTTGCCTGTTTACTAACTGTATTTACAATGAATTATACTTAATTTTGCAATTTCCTTTTCTCTGCAGCAAAACTTTTTGAGATTTGTCAGTGTTGAAATATTAGGCTTTCTGTAGCTTTAAAAACACGGACTGGAGAAATGGCTCCTCAGTCACTGGCTGCTCTTGTGGGGACCAGGATTCAATTCCCAGCACCCACATGGCAGGTAACAACCATACATAACTCCAGTTCAAGGGGATCTGACGCCCCCTTCTGACCTCTGCAGGCACTGCATGCAGGCATGCATACATACATATATACACACATACATACACTCATACACAAAAAATAAAACAAAATATCTTTAAAAATTATTTCACATATTTATTTATGGGAGGGTATGTCAAGGGGTGTGTGTACAGGCCACACAGTGTGTGTGGAGGTGAAAGGTAAAAGGTCAACTTCTGGGTCCACTATGCATATCTCAGGGATCAAACCCAGGTCAGACTTGATGGTAAGTGCCTTTACCCATGGAACCATCTTGCTCTCTGTAGTTCATGTTAACAAAAGGGGAAAGAACACTAAAAACATAAAACAGAATGTAGTGGTTTATAAGTCACAGGATCCAGCTAACCTTTCTGTCTTACCACTGTTAATATTGAAAGAAAAAAGTACATTAAAAATAAAATCTAGAAAAAAGCAAAGATAGCATATTAAATTATTATTAACTGGAAACTCTATACCTGTGTGATGTCATAAACAGGTTTTAGCATATATTTCCATAATTTTAATTGTGGATTATAATTTCTTGAAATAAATCAAATCAAAAATTATAGATTCTACTACTACCTAGAATATTTTTGCTAACTTGTAGAATGATCATATCCCTAAAATATCAGAGGTGCAAAAAACACAGAGTCTATAAAAATCAGGCAGGCACAGCCTCAGACCAGGCACTGGCTACTGTTCACTCAACATGAACTTTTCTCAATATTAAATGTGGGTGTTCCTGGAGAGATGTAAATGAGCAACTCCTACCTCCCCATAGGGCTTCAACAACACAGGATTCCACTAAAGTCCAACTTTGGAATCCAGTAGGTTTATTGGACTTACAGAGCATGAGCACGGTGAGGGGTTACTTACAGGAATATGGGTGACCCCCAAAGCAACTGTACCACAAAAAGTCCCACCCAGCATGGAAGAGACCCTCCCCATAGCTGCACAGATAGACTGAACCTTCACTAACCTTCCCTCCTCTATACCCTCCAACACCCCTTGAGACCATGATGCAGCTAGGGCAGAAGTACATGTAGCTGGCTGGGGGAGGCGGCAGTGGGTGGCTGGAATCTCAGGCAAGGGTGTACTGACCTATCCACTCCCTCCTTCCAGAAGGGGACATCCACAGTCAACAAGCACGCTCTCAGGGTCTCTTGTAAGTAGACAGAGCTGCTGGTCTCCTGGTTCTGGGGAGATGGAACTTTACAACAGTGCATACTATGCTAAGCCCAGAGAGCACACGGACTCCTATGTACTCTGTGTTCTCACACATACACAGATGTACCTGCACATGCACGCACGCGCACACACACACACACGCGCACACACACGCACGCACACACATGATCCTTCTTTTTCCATTTTTTTTCTCCTTTTTCTTCTTCCATGGTTGCTACGTTGCAGAGAGAACCCAGGGCCTTATGTACTCTAAACAATCATCTACCACTGAGCTATACCTCATACCTCCAGCTTTTGGCTTTTTTGAGACAGGGTCTGGCTATGTAGCTGGGGCTGGACCTGAACCAGATATGTAGCCCAGGCTGGCATCATATAGGCCTGTCTCTCAATTAGCTAGTTCCTCCAAGGGGCGGGGCCTGCCACGGAGCGTGGACTATGGAGGGGCTGCTGGGAATGAAGCCACGAGCCACATGTAGCTCCAGGTGTGGGGAACACACAGTCGTGCAGTAGCTCAAGGACAGAATGGCCTGACTCTTATGGACCTGGGGAGATTGCTGGCCGGGGAGGCATGAGCGAACGCTAGCGGTGACTATGGGCGTGGCGTGGTCTCATATGGCAGGCTCTGAGCGGGCACGGGGCTAGGCACTGGGTACTCATTCCTTTCTAAGTTAATAAATGCACATAAAGATATGTTATATGGTTTGCTTGATAGCGCAGGAGACCCAGAAGGAACTCGGGTGACAAGGCTTCAATCTCGAATGCTGTTGATAACCTGTGAGGACAGACATGCACCAGGTTGCACAGTTCTCCCACGTTCAGTTCTGACTCGCTAACTCCTTATTTACTTCAAACACATCTATCTTTCAAATACAGGCTTCATTAGTATCCTCAAACAACTGTAGTAATAAAATCAAAATCGCTATGAAATAGGATTTATATCTTGTATCTGATCCACATATTTCTCCTACATTTTGACAGTGTCTAAATTAGAAGGAAGGAAGGAAGGAAGGAAGGAAGGAAGGAAGGAAGGATAGAGGGAGGGATCCTGCCCTGTCACCTGGTCCTGTGCAAGGACAGCATGATGTACTGATACCAATTATGAAAATTCTTAAGACCTCACTAAATTTGTTACCTTATGCAGAAGTAAATCCAAAGTCACCACTTTATAACTGAGAAAGCATCACAAGGTTAGGAGACTTGGACAGGGTCACAGAAGACCAGAGCACAAACCCATATCCTGTGTCTTCCAAGTTTACTAATTTTGTTTTTTTTTTTTTTCTTTACCTTATAACCCTACAGGAATGACTTATAAATGGATGTAACCTGGAATAATGACAGTTAATTAACCCTAGAAAAACCATGTGCTCTTGTGTCTTGTGACCTGGATACCTCATCTTGTTTCCTTGGCAACCTCAGTCTGGCACTCCACCCAAAAAGATAAAGAATGAATGAATGTGAGTATTCTTGAGAATTAGCAAGCCTACTAAAAGCAAGCATGCCCTTCTCCACTGCACACAGTGAAGGCCAGGGAACACACACGGCCTTGGGTGAATGAGATGTTCTAGAACTAGGGGTGAAAAGACAGCATGGTCTGTGAAGATTAGGGTGCAGCCGAGCTATTACTTCCCCAATTGAAGCTGGAAAAGCCATTTTGAATAAAATAATGAGCTGGGCCTGACTCAGGACACAGTTCCAGGGACCTCTGGGGGAACAGGTGTCCTCTGGGTTCAGCCTACACTAAAAACACAATTTAAGAGTTAGGAATTTGCTCAGGTAATTACAATGTTGGTACAGTAATGCTGCATAACCCTCTAACTCTCATTTTGGTTTTTCTTTGTTTTTCTTTTTCTTTTTTGACAGGGTCTCCCTAGTCCCAGCTGGCTTGGAAGTCGCTGTGTGGACCAGGCTCACCTCCCTCCCGAGGGCAGAGTAAAGGTCCAGGTCACCACACCAGGGTTAAATCTCATCAGAAGTGTATCTTAGCACAAAAGCAAATGATCAGCTCTTAAACTATGTAAATGTACATTATTAGACACGAGCAGAAATGAATAAAATTAAGAATTTCTGGAGACAAACTTAAACAACTTGGAAAGAGAACCAAATGTTACACAATGTGCTGCCTGCCGATCAAGAATGGCTCCTGTAAGAGTGTGGCTTCTTAACTCAGAACCGTAACGATAAAACTAGTGCCCACTGCAATCCCCTATGTGATGCTGTCATGACCTTCGTCTCCAATACCCCTCTGAGCTGGGGAACGGGGTTACTAGATCACTCTGAGCCCCTCCAGGGTCTCCGCACTTACGCAGGCTACCCTCCAGTGCTTACTTCCCCAGAGCAGTGGCCAGAGACAGTGATGAGGCTTTGGGCTCACAGCCATCTCCATGAGCGGAGGACAAGCAGTCCACAGGTGGCCTTTGCACCAGGCTCAATCATTAACACCTCTTTCCTACTCTGAACCCCTCTAGAAACTGTAGTTAAGGTGTTGGGGGTTTTGTGATTGTTTGAGGGCTAAGGGTGGATGCAGATAGGGGAGGGGGTCTAAATATGATTAAGATGTATTTGTGAAATGCAGAAAGAAAAATATTAAAAATATATATTATTTTGGGTGGGTGCCACGGGGTCTAAACTGCAGGCTGGAGCCAGAGGCCAGGAGCCCAAATCGGAGAGCTGGAGGGAGGTGGGGAGTCGTGACCCCCACCCCAGCTGGGCCAGGGCAAAGGCCTCGGTGGAGGGTGAGGGTGGTCATGGGGATCCCGAGGCCAGCCCCTAGCAGCCCAGTCCAGCCTGGACTAGTCACTGGCGGACGTACCAATCTGCGCCTGCGGTGCACAGAGCAAGTGTAAATCCTTCTAGAACCCAGGACCTGCAGGAAGGCCTCCCGGGAGACTGACCACCAGGGGCCTGCAGCCTGGAGGCTAAGCCTGGACTAGTCACTGGCGGACGTACCAATCTGCGCCTGCGGTGCACAGACCAAGTGTAAATCCTTCTAGAACCCAGGACCTGCAGGGAGGCCTCCCCGGGAGACTGACCACCAGGGACCTGCAGCCTGGAGGCTGGTTATGTCTCCAGCTGCCAGTGCGTTGGTTCTCAGGGGACAGAGAGGCCACGTGCTAAAATCTATGCGTTTGAGTAAGAGGAGTGACATGGGGGGAGGCTTAAAACCCACTTACCCTCCTCTAGATTGGAGCAGAACCTTCTAGACTTCTTGCAAGGCCATGGAAGACTGGGAGAGTAAGCCTTTTTCAACTTTTACAGGCTCCTCCCCCGACCTCCGGAAACCTGCGGAAGCGCGCAGCTGCGCAGCTGAGGAAATTTGGTCCTCTCCAGCCGCCGTCGCCAATATGGCCGCGCCCAGAGTCCCGACGGGTGAAAGCGGAAGGGGAGCGAGACGCGCCCGCATGGACCGCAGCGCGGAGTTCAGCCGGTGGAAGGCGCAGCGTCTGAGCAGAGCGGACCTCAGCCGGAAGGGCAGTGTGGACGAGGACGCCGTGGGGGTTGTGCAGCTCCTGAACGCGCGCGACGAGTTCTTCACCACGAGCTCCTGCGCGGGGCGCATCCTCCTGATAGATGGGGTGAGGCCCGCTGCCCGCGGGAGGGTGGCCTCGCTTTACCCGGGAGCCTAGGGGCGGGGGACCAGTGCCTCCCGCGGCTGTGTCCAGCCACCCCGGGCTCCTGACAGGTCCCAGTGATGGAGAAACCAGCCTAAGTGGCCGCAGCGAGAGAGATCCAGTTTATTCTGAATACTAAAGGATTTAAACCGACTCCAGCCCGGGGCGGTGCACACCCGACTCCGTCCTTGGACCACGTCGCTGTGTGCGGATGGGCATCCCTGGGGTTAAGCCGCTCCTTTGCGCCCCTGTGGCCCGTCCTGTTATTGCAGCCCTGGGCATCTTTACGTCTTCAAGTGCGAGGTGCATGGGAGATGGTGCTCAAAGCTTCGGGCTTTGCAGTGATGCTGAGAGTCCAACAGTTATCCGAGTATTCACTATCTGAACTTAGGATAGGAAAGCTGTGTGCGGATGGGCATCCCTGGGGTTAAGCCGCTCCTTTGCGCCCCTGTGGCCCGTCCTGTTATTGCAGCCCTGGGCATCTTTACGTCTTCAAGTGCGAGGTGCATGGGAGATGGTGCTCAAAGCTTCGGGCTTTGCAGTGATGCTGAGAGTCCAACAGTTATCCGAGTATTCACTATCTGAACTTAGGATAGGAAATTGCATTAACTATGTGACTTAGTATAGGAAACTTAAACAAGGTCAGTCCCATGAACGGAGGATAATTAGAAAACGTCCTCATAGGCTTTTATATGCAGAAGATGGACTCGTTTATTTCACTTATTCTCCTGTCTGGTCCATGTTGTGATTTAAGACTTGCCTGGTAGTCATTTTATCGTATTGAGAGCACCGGAGACTGCACATAGGTGCATTCTTTAGGTCCAGTGGGACTGTTGATGTATTGATGCCCCTGATAAGTGAGGCCTGTCCATTTTATATTGCTTCCATCTCGTTCTGAGCTTGGCACTCACTGATGTCCCAGCTGTCTCTTCTGCCTCACCTGGGATTTTTCAGAACCTTCCCAGTGAGTCAGCAAAACACCATTCTCTCCTTCAGAAAGTGGTACAGATTAACATTTTTGCATGTTTTTTATATTCACTTTAAACTTTTTTTATTTGTATGAGTGTATTGCCTGCATGTATGTACATTCACCCCCGCATGCAATGCCCACAGAGGCCAGAAGAGGGCGTTGGGTTCCCTGGAACTGGAGTCACGTATGGCTGTAAGCCCCCCTGTGGGTGCTGGGATCCTGACCTGGGTCCTCTGCAAGAGCAGCCAGTGGCCCTAACTGCTGAGCCATCTCTCCAGTCCCTTTATCCACTTATTGAAAGCAGAACTGTCATTGCTATCCATCTGTGCTGAAACTTTTCATTGCAGTTTTTCACAGCAGGAAATCCAAACTTCTATTGTCCGCAGCATTTCTTCCATTTCCACTGCTTTAACTAGTTACTGACATCCAGCCATTCTCTTTCTTCACCTGTAATGGCTGGTTTAGACTTTGGTTCCTTGTGTTTTTCACTTAGGAGTCAGTACTGGGAACTGAAGTTAGAGCCTCACTCATGCTAAGCAAGTGCTCTACCACCAAGTTATATCCCC